CGCCGCGGGCGGGGGCGGGGGAGGCGCCAGGCCGGCGGGGTGTGGGGAGAGCTGGTCCCGGTCAGTGGCCTGAGAGTTCCCGGGCACAAGCAGTGACCCCTAGCGCTGCAGTGGGCTGCGGGCGGTCCTCAGTGCCCCGCTGCCTGTGTGCCAGTTTCCGTGGGAGGGGGCTCGCCCTTTGATCCCATGCATCTGAAAACCCCTCCGAGCTAGATGTGCTGCCAGGAGGCAGAGAGCTGGGGAGGGGCTGGCGTGGTAGTGCGGAGCAGCGCAATGTTCACACCCCTGTGTCCCGAAGAAACCTGGCTGTTCATTTGGCCTTGAAGCTGGTTCAGGGCAGGAGACTCAGAGTAGCTTTTTGCATAATCATTCCTTTAGTTCATCATTAAATACTGCATGAATGAGAGTAGCTATATGATGGTTTAAATCAGCGTTTCTCGACCTTTTTTTTTTTTATAAAGTACTCCCTTTTAAAAAGTAATTGTACCCCCAGAGCCAGGCTCCCCCAGGTCCCCCACTCTAACCCAAATCCCTCTCCCAGAGCCAGCCCCACCCAACCCAATGTCCTCACCTCCCCCAGAGCCAGGTACCCCCATGCCCCATCTAAGCCAATGCCCCTACCCTCCTCTTGAGCCAGACACTGGACCTATGGTAACCCTAACTTTGAAATGCCCTCTTCCGCTGCCCGCCCTCGCCAGCTTATCGGCAGGGAGCAAGTGGCCTGCCAGTACTTGGCCCGTCGCACGGGGCTATGCGCTCCCACCCCAGGCTGCCCTCCTCAGCGGGGTGCCTGGGGGCAACTGCCCCCCACTATACCACAGATGCGGGCCGGGTCCTTTGGAGCAAAGCTTATTGTGCTGCTTCACCACCTTTTAGCTCCTTTCCACAGTACCACGAGGAAGGGGGGGGGAGATACATTATACTGAGCTGCTGGCGGGGGTGGGGGTAATGTGCATATCCAGGTTTAGCCGCCCTCCCTGCTGGGGAGGCTGCCGGAGAGGAAACAAAGTAGGAGAGGCAGCTGTGGAAGTGATGATTTTTTTTGTTTCCTCCCTGCTCCCCATCCTGGAACTGCCATGGGTCTTAGTGGAGCCACGGACACAGCCACACACTTTCCCCATCAGGCACTGGGGTGCGTGCACAGAGCGCCTGTTATTGTCTGGGCACATGGCTCTGAACATTCAATCTGACAGACACATGCCGTTGCCCGATTCCCCTTTGCAGAGCAAAATCCCAGGCATTTTTTGCCAAATTTCACTTGTGTTGAGATACCCCTAAGGGTATGCATATCACTGGTTGAGAAACACTGGTTTAGAGGGCAGAGTGGGAGAAAAACCAGCATAAAATTAATCAAATTAAAACACACTCTACATCGAATTTGGCTCATCTTAACAAAACAAAGTCAGTTTTGGTTCCTTTTGTATTCTAATTTATTACAAGCCCATGAGTAGAGCTAAGAAGGAATGTAATTGCAAACCCCTGATATTAGACTGCTGATGAACTAAGCAGATTAGACCAGATAACCTGATAATGAAAGGCCTGAACAAACAGAAATGTCATTGGTACTTTTCTCTTAAATCCTTGCGGATCATAGCAACCCTTTGTCTTTTTTTCCCCCGTTGTTTTCTTTTACGTTCTCACCTAGAACAGCTCATAAATATACCCCTCAATATTTCCAAAATAAAACTGGATACCATGTCCTAGTTTGTTATAAGCACTTATTGGAAAAAAATCCTTGAAACTATGATTCAAAATTTGTTGTGTTAACTTTCCTTTTAATACTATACTAAAAGATTTACCTGGTGTTGCTCAAATTCTTAACTCAGTTTATTTTTGTGAGGGTTTTGTTTTTTGTTTTTAAAGAAACTGAAAATGTGCATCCTTTATTTAAATCATTGCTCTGGGGTGGGGCTGGGGATGCAGTATGCCAGTGTTTCCCAATTTTATTTGGCCAAGGAACCCTTTTCAGAATTTCAAGGAACCCCTAGGTTTGTCAAGCAAAAAAAAAGGGGGGGGGGAGGCAGAGGGACCCACCAAATGCATGAAAATCACATTCCGTCCCCAAGACCCCCACCCCGCTTCCTTGAGGCCTCATCTGCTCTGTTCCTCTCCTCTCCGTCACTTGCCATCCCCAGCCCTTATACACTCTCACTAGGTTGAGACAGGAGGTGTGGGGTGGGAATGAGGGGTTTGGGTGTGGGAAGGGGTGAGAAGTACAAGCTCTAGGAGGGAATTTGGATGCAGGAGAAGGGGATGTTGGCTCGGGGAGGGGGCTTCAGGCTCGGGAGTGTTGGGCTCAGGTGAAAGGTTGGGGTGCTGAGCAAGCCATGGGCTTGTGGATGTGAGGGTGCTGGAGTTTGGATTGGATATGTGAGGGACTCAGGGCAAGAAGGTTGTGAGTATGATGGGCTCAGGACACAGATTTGTGATGTGTGGATGGTTCAGGAGTGTGGTGGCAGAAGACTGAGGATGTGGGGATGCAGGAGTTTGGGGATGTAAGAGGCTCAGGACAGGGGGTTCCAGTGTATGATAGGCTCAGATTTGGGGTCAGGTGGTGCAGGAGTGTTGGGAGTTTGGCCCCAATTGGGGGCTTGCTGGCCAGGCTTCATTTTTAGGGTTTTTGACATAAAATATTATGTCGACTCAAAAAGTTTTAGCATTGTCTCTATTTATGAGAGGGGTGAGGAACCTGTTTTGAGTCAAGGGTCACTGATCCACAGAAAAGTCTGTTGGGGCCACACAAGTGAGATGCAAAAAAAACCCAACAACCCTCCAAAGACCCCCAAGCCTCACTAATGTGGTCCCAAATGTGCTGGTGGGAGCAAGGGACAGAGTGAAAGTGGGTGCTGGGGCTCGGGAGAGGGTGCTGCTGGGTGGAAGGATGCTGGCTCAGGTGACGGGGTGCTGCGGCAGGCAGGTGGCGGGGTGCTGGGGTCAGGGACATGGTCCTGCTGGGCACTAGGGTGATTGGCAGGGTGCTGGGACAAGGAACAGGGCGCTGCTGGGTGCTAGCGTGGTTGGCAGGGTGCTGAGGCCTGGGCGGTTCTGAGTCCTGGGGTGTGAGGCAGGGTGTTGGGGCCGGGGTCAAGGTGGTGCTAGGTGCTAGGGTGGATGGCAGGGCTGCCAAAGAACGGGATAGGGATGGGGTGCAGGATCTGAGAGGGAGATGGGGGGGCAGAAGGGGGCAAGGTCTGGGTGGTAGGTAGGGTGCAGAAGCAGGCTGGATGTAGGGTGTCTGGCTACGAGGGAGGGTGCAAGGAGGGGACTTGGGTAGGAGTTGGACCTCCCTGATCTGGCACCCTCTGGACCTGACTGGTCCCAGATGAGGGATTTTTGGGCCAGGGGAGATCATTTCAGGGCTCCTGGTTCCCGCCCCCCCTCCTCCCCAGTAGGTTTCTTTGTACCTCCATCCCCTGCAACCCAGCTGAGCTGCTCACCCCTGCTGGTTCCCTGCACTTCCCCCAAAACCATCCCCCACAATCCAAGGTAGTGAAGGGAGTGCAGCACCAGTTCCCTGCAGCCCCTCACAGCCCAGCTGAGCTGCCCATCTGTTCCGTATGCCCTCCCCCATCCACCTCAGCTCAGCTGAGCCCTGCACTGGTTCCCCACATGCCTCCCCCACAGCACAGCTGAGCCCTGTTTCCCTGCACCTCCCCTAAGCCCTGCAAAACTGCTGAGCCAAACGCCGATTCCCTGCCCCTCCCTCCCCTTGAGCCTAGCCCCAGTTCCCAGAACCTCCCTCCTCCTGCAGCCAAACTGAGCTCCACACACACACCCCCACCCCGCAGCCCAGCCCAGCTCCCTGGATCTCCCCACTCTGCAACCCAGATGAGCTCAATTTCCCTGCACCTTCCCCCAAACCATGTAGACATGCTGAGCCAGTGCTGATTCCCTGCCCCCCTCCCTCCCTCCTCTTGGCTGTGTCTACACTGGCGTGATCTTGTGCCAAAGCGGGCCGCTCTTGTGCAAAAACTTGCTTCCTGTCTACACTGGCCGTGTATTCTTGCGCAAGTACGCTGACATTCTCATGTATGAAGTCAGGGCTTCTTGCGCAAGAACTATGATGCTCCTGCTCAGGAATAAGCCCTTTTGTGCAACTGTTCTTGCGCAAGAGGCCAGCATAGACAGGCAACATGAATTTCTTGTGCAAGAAAGCCCTATGGCTAAAATGGCCATCGGCACTTTCTTGGGCAAGAGAGCGTCCACATTGCCATAGATGCTCTTGTGCAAAAGCACAGCTTGCACATGGCAGTGTGGATGTGTTCTTGCACAAGAAACCACCGGTGTAGACATAGCCTAAGAGTTTCCTCGCATGAGCAAAATGAATTTTGTGTTGTGCACCAATACTGAGTTCATGTGGCTTGTTTGGATGTGCCACTGTGGCATCCAAGTTATTAATAAATATTGTTAAACTTTTACCTTTTCTCTCTGCTGCCATGTCTCCTCTCCTTGTTCCATCAGCTCTCCTGGTGCCTGCTGCCTCCCAACTCCTCCCCCTCCTCTACTGTCCTGACTCCTGCCCTTCTCACTGCCGTCAGCCCTCCTGCAACCTGCCCCCCTCCACCAGCCCTTCTCTCCCTCCTATGCCCACTCCTCCAGTAGCCCCATTCTGATCATGCGAGCTACCCCTCCTCATCCCCTCTCCTAACACCTCCCTCTACACACCTGCACTGCCTCTCTCCTGATGCTGGTCCCTCCCCTGCAGGAGTCTGCCCTTCTGCTTCACCCCCAGAATCTCCTGGCACCTGCACCCTCCTGGCACCTTCCCCTTCCTTCACTGCCCCTGTCCCCTTTGCCCTCTT